CCCAGCCGACACAGCTATGACGCGCTGGCCAGCCAAGGCCTCCACCTTCTTCGGCAGCAGCTGGTGCTGCTCGTCGCCGTGGCCCAGCTTGCCAAAACTTCCACCGCCCGAGCTCCAGACGGCGCCGCCGGCGGTGAGGGCGAGGCTGTAGCTATATCCAGCCGACACAGCGACGACGCGCCGCCCAGCGAAGGCCTCGACCTTCTTCGGCAGCAGCTGGTCCTGCTCGTCGCCGTGGCCTAGCTTGCCAGAGACTCCACCGCCCCAGCTCCAGACGGCGCCGTCGGCAGTGATGGCGAGGCTGTGATACATTCCAGCCGACACAGCGATGACGCGCTGGCCAGCCAAGGCCTCCACCTTCTTCGGCAGCAGCTGGTGCTGCTCGTCGCCGTGGCCCAGCTTGCCAAAACTTCCACCGCCCGAGCTCCAGACGGTGCCGCCGGCGGTGATGGCGAGGCTGTGCCCGCCTCCAGCTGACACAGCGACGACGCGCTGGTCAGCAAAGGCCTCGACCTTCTTCGGCAGCAGCTGGTTTTGCGCGTCGCCGTGCCCTAACTTGCCATCGTCTCCATCGCCCCAGCTCCAGACGGCGCCGTCGGCAGTGATGGCGAAGCTGTGCCCATCTCCAGCTGCCACGCTCACGGCGCGCTCTCCCAGCGGGGAGGGGAGGCGGGTCGGCGTGTTGAGCCGCGTCACGCCCTCGCCGTGGCCGAGCAGCCCTGGATAGTAGGATGGGGTTGAGCCGCACGACGAGAGCCGCCCCTCGCCGTCAATGAAGAGGCTGTGCCGCTCGCCTGCCGCCGCCCTCGCCGGCGGGTTGGACTCGCACAGCAGCGCCGAATAGCACACCCACCTCACGGCGCAGCCCTCGCCCTCTGGCTGCGCCGGCAGCTCGTAGCCGCGCTCTTGCGCCCTCAAGCGGATGCCCTCCACCGCAAGCGAGGCGTGAAAGAGCAGCGAGACGGCCGCGACGCGAGTGATGTCAACGGGGCCGTCGCAGCGAGAGACGACGCGCACGACGAGGTCCGTGGGGAGGTCGAGGAGGCGGGTGGGCGGCGGCGTGCTTGGCGAGGGAGCGGCGGTGGCGGCGGGGGCGAGGCGGCGCGAGCGGCGCGAGCGGCGCGGAGGGGTGGACATCGCGAAAAAAAGAATTCGCAGACAGGGAGGGTGGGGAGATATGATTCGGTTGACTGATTTCTTCTGACCACGGGACTTGCGCGTACTGGCACTAACACAGATAACCAGAAACAGAATTTTCAGCAACCCTTTCGCCTTTTCCTGGCTCACAAGCTAAAAAATGTCCCCCCCCCCCCCCCCTCCCCCTCCCCGCCATGATCAATAAACACCGAATGATGCGCAAGACACCCATGAATGGACACACAAATTCTCGACAAGCGTCTCTCGCCGCGCTGAACGTAGCCTCCAACTGCCAGCTTCCAGGGGCGGAGCCGTGTCGTCGCCTTGCCTTCGCGGCGAGGCGTGCAGTCCACGGCTCCCTGCCACTACCTGGTGCGCGCTACACGCTCAAATCCACGGCCTCTGCCGCGGCGCCACGCCTGAGCCTCAGCCGGGTGGCCTTGAGCAAGTCCACGCCGGCCAGCGGCCGCTCGTCCGCCTCGTCCGCCGGCGCCGCCGCCGCCAGCATCGCCGACGACGGCGCCTCTGCCACCACCTGACACACCACGGCCCTCACCGCCGCTGCGCGCGACACCGGCCGCAGCCGCCGGCTGAGCTGCGCCAGGTTCGTCTCCGCGCCAACCTCGAGCGTCAGCCTCGACGGCGCGGTGCGTGCGCGCCGGCGGCCCTGCGCGGCCGGCTCGCTCTCGGCCTCCTCGCCCCGTTGCGGCGTCGGGGCGCCAGCCGCTGCCGGACGGGCGATCTCGTCTTTGACGACCTCTTGTGCCACCGCGACGTGCGTCGTCGGCGGCGGCGTTGGCGTCGGCGTCGTCGTCGTCGTCGTCGTCGGCGGCGGCGGCGCCACCGTGCCGTCAGCGTGCCTCGCCCGATGCTCTTCGAGAGCCTCTGCAAAGCCCGCCGCTCCGCGGACGGTCTGGAGGAGCTCCCAGACGGGCTTCCCGCCTGCAGGCTGCCCCACCCACCGAACGAGGACCTCATGCCACGCCGAGTCGCTCCCTCGCTCGTCGAGCACCACGTCGACTCGCGCCTTGGCCCACGCCTTTCGCCGCCGCTCCATGAGCGGCGCCGGAGGCACGTACGGCGCGCGGCGCGAGGAGGTCTGCGTCAGAGGCAGTACGGCCGCCATGTCGCCTCCGTCGTTGACCGCGGCGGCAGTCACAGTCGGCGTCTTTGAGGGAGCGACACCGACGGCGGGCTCCGGCGGCGAAGCCCCAGGTGAAGCGGACGCCGGCAGCCTCGAGTTTGCCTCGTCCTCGTCGGCGCAGTCGACGGCCACGATGGACGGGGTCGAGCCCTTGCACTCTCCGATCCGCAGCGGTGGTGGCTTAGGCTCTTGCCTCGCCCTCGCCAGGCACGACCAGCAGGTAGCTCGCGAGGGCTGCGACCCAGCGCGAGGCACGGCGCCGTACTTGTTCATGAGGGCCTTGATCAAGTCCCGCTGAGGCAGTGCAGCCAGCACCTTCTCGGCGTGCGCTTGGGTTGCCTTTGACGGGTCGCGCTGCTGATAGAAGGCCACGAGTGAGTCGGCTGTCAAGGGCTGATCCTGAGACAGCAGCCGCGCCTCGTCGCGCTTCGAGAGCACCCAGCGAGAGTGTGGCTTGGCGGCAGTCGGCGGCATTGTCGAGCGGCAAGGCGCGTAGAGGGTGTCCGTCCAAAGCAGAGCACCACGTCGAGGGTTCCCGGGCGTTCGTTTCTTTTTTCATGAACAAAAAAGAAATCGGCGCATTTTTAGGCAAAGACCTCTTGAAAGGCGGACACCTGCTTGGCGATCTCTTCGCGCTCGTCCTTCGTTGGGTTGTCCGAATCGGCCGCGGGCGGCAGCATATATGCCAAGCTTCAGTATCGCCGCCTGCAGCAGCACGCGCGCCTTGGTCGACGTTAAATTCGAGGCCGCGATGAAGAAGGGCCCAGAGGGGTACGAGAAGCCGCCAGTGTTGCCGCGCGCGACGCGGCAGACGGGCACCCCCGAGAAAACGGCCTTGAGCAACGCGCCGCCGAGCGCGGCGCTCGTTGAAACACGTGACGGTCCAGTAACCGAAAGTAGCCCCTCTTCGTTCGGTGCCTTGCTTGTGTCCCGCGGCCCACACGCCTCCCGACTGCTTGCGGCACCGTCGCCGCCGCACTTTTCTGATCAACCACCTCACCCTCCCTTGCGCGCGCCGTCTCTTGCGATCATTTGCCACCCATTCATGTCGTTGCTCAGGTCCACTCTCTCTTCGAACACTTGTGCCTCTACGGATGATGCTCTGGGCCGGCGCGGGGGCCCCAGAGGGTGTCCATGCGGGGGGGAGATGGGGTCCCATGGCCCGCCGCAGGCGCCGATTTTTTCGGATTGTTTTTCTTTTTTGGCGTTTTTACTTGTTTTCATGGGAATTCGGCGTACTTGCGGCCATGCTATCACGCCTTGCGACAGCCTGTCGGCGCAGCTGACCGTGCCATGATGCACAATTGATCACCTGCATAGCTCGCGGCCTTAGTATCAAGCATTCAGTGACGACCTGATCGTACGGCCAGTAGGAAGGTGTCCTTCCAGCGCGTGCACGCTCTGACGCAGTGCGCGTCACAAACTGCCTCGGATTGGCTGCTGGCACTCTCGAGGCTATGCCTACACAGCCTCGCGCGCATGGGCAGTCAAGAGGGACCACGCACCTTCTCAGGACAGCGCCGGTGCCTCTCTCTTGGACCGGCAAACTTGGTGGTATCGTGTCACCAATGTGGGACCAGTGCGGCATCGCGCCATCGACAGCTCTGAACTGCGCCTCACCACTGACCGGGAAGGCCGCCAAGTGGGCCAGCACAGGTCGCACATTGTGGCAGCAGTCAGCAGTGCATGGCTGATAGCTAGAGCAGCAGCGTCAGGGTCGCAGGGTCGGATCGTGTCAAGCCTCTCGCCCGGCCGGCCGCGTGCAGACGTCGGCCTGTCTGCTGTCTGGAGTGATCTGTCGGCGGTCAGTACGACCGATCAGGTCGGAGTTTTCTGATGGTTGGAGGGTCTATCTGTATGTACTCCTCGAGATCTTTCCAAATCTGCCCTCTACTTAACCGTACTTAATCGGGAAGTTGGTGCTAACGGAGACTAACGGAGCCGGAGCCCCGTTTCCGCACTGCGGCGCGGCGCACGGTGCCTCCGGGGGGCCCCGCGCCGGCCCAGAGGGATGATGCCGGCGCTGGGGTCCCCTTCGGATGCGTCGTGACATCTGACAACTGGATTTCCACTGGTTCGTCCTCCTCGAAGTCATTCATCTTCCCCGGCTTCCTTCCGCTCGGCTCTACGTTTGGTACGTTCGGCGTGGCTGTTTTCTGTTTTGCCAAACGCGGCTCCGTTTGTTTTGCCACGCTTCGGCTCTCTGTTTTCTTTTGCCAGTGCGCGCCAGTCCGGGCGCGCCTCGGCGCCGTCGGGCGGAGAGAGCGCGATCTGGTGGCCGAAGGCCGATTCTCTAGTCACTCGGTCCCCCAACGGAAGAGGCCTCGCTCCTATTGAAACACTCCAACATCAGATTTGCCTCGTGCGTCCCTGTTTGAGCCGGGAAGCTGTTTTCTTTTGGGTCCTGTGGCACCTTTTTTTTGTGTGTGGCACCCTACGCACGCTAAATATCCGCTTCTAGGACGAGCTCAGAGCTAAGGGCGCATCCTGTGGGACCATCTAGCTCTACTGGGTCCGCGACGGCGGTCGGCGCCCGCGCCGCTTGGGGCGCCTGCGGCGCCCCTGGGCGCGCTGCGCGCGCCTGTTTTGGCGCGCTGCGTTCCCCTTCATTGGAGAGAGCAGCTCAGCGAATCCCACACACCGAGGTTCCTCTGTGATTCTCCGCCTCCGGTCTCGACCTGCGCGACTTACCACACACCCCGTTCCCACCGCAGAAACAATGGTCGCCAAGACTGCCACGCTCGCTCTCGCTCTCTTCGGCGGCGCCGAGGCGCTCACCATCGGCGCGGCGCCGATGCGCTCGATCTCGCGCTCGTGCAACATCGAGATGGCCAAGAAGTCGGTGGGCGACCTGTCCGAGGCTGACCTGAAGGGCAAGAAGGTGCTCGTCCGCTGCGATCTCAACGTCCCGCTCGACGGCAAGACCATCACCGACGACACCCGCATCCGCGCGTCGGTGCCGACCGTCAAGTACCTCGTCGAGAAGGGCGCAAAGGTGCTGCTCTCGTCGCACCTGGGCCGGCCCAAGTCGGGCCCGGAGGACAAGTTCTCGCTCGGCCCCGTCGCGCCGCGCCTCTCTGAGCTGCTCGGCAAGGACGTCGTCATGGCCCCCGACTGCATCGGCGACGGCGTCAAGGCGCCCCGCACCCAGCCCTTCCTCTCCCGCCGCGACCACCACCCACCGCCTCCTGTGACACGACAACCCACGCGTCCGCGGCCTCCCTCGCCGCCGCCACCGAGCCCTCCACCTCCTTCGCCGCTGCCGCCCTCCCCGCCTCCCACTCTCCACCGCCGCCCGCCCGCGCAAGCCTGCTCCACGCCCGCTCCTCCTCCCTCTCCCTCCTGCCTCCCCCCCTGCTCCTCTCCTCCTCCTCCCTCTGCTCCCTCTCCCTTCCCTGCCGGCGGTCCCCGGCGTGTCCACCCCACGACACGCCCACGACACACGCCACGACACGTCCACGACACGTCACATCCCCGACACGTCCACGACACGTCCACGACACGTCCCCGACACGTCCCCAACACGTCCCCGACACGTCCCCCCCCCAGGCGGGCCTCGCGGAGAAGATGTCTCACATCTCGACCGGCGGCGGCGCCTCGCTCGAGCTGCTCGAGGGCAAGGTGCTGCCCGGCGTCGCGGCGCTCCAGGAGGCCTAGAGGCGCTGCACCACCCTCCACGCTGCTGTGCACAGTGCGCCCGCGCCGCCCGTGAAACTTGCGGCGGCGCGGCTACGTCCCCCGCCCCATGCTGTGTGAAGGGGCACACCGCACACGCTGTTTTGGTGTGCCTTTGATAGAATTGTGATTTTCGCCCCGCTGGCGGCCGCCGCCGACCGTCATATGCGATTCGACATCGAGCCCGCGTCGATCACACGCCCGAAAGTGACTGTCACGTAAACGGACAACCCCGGGCCCGAAATCGCACAGAGATCAGAGTCACCAGTCACGCAACACGGGGAAGGCGAGCAAAAAGTGACTTCACGTGAAAAACGGAGACGAGATCGAGAACTGCGGCCGACTCTCTTCTTGCCGCCTCGCGCCCCCGCGCGCGGAAGCGCGACGGGCGCCACGCTACTGTGTCTCGCGCGTGATCGCGAAGCGCAGCACGCACGCGCTAAAGTCGAGCGCCGCGATGCCGTTCGTGGGTCCAGCCGAGTCGAGACGGTGCCACTCATGGATCTCGTAGAGCGAGAGGACGAGGAGCGCCGCCCGCGCGCGCGCCGCCGCGGGGAAGAGCGAGTGGCTTGCCGGCGACCACGGCGCCGCCGCCCGCCGAATCAGCGGCGTCGGCTCGCCCTCGTGCAAGCTTGCGCCGCTGCGCAGCAGGGAGAGCGCGCGGGCGGCGGTGAGGGTCTCAAGGTGCGCGAGCGGCGTCCAGCCGCGGCTGGCGACCAGCCAGGCGGCGAGGTCGGCGTGGCCAAAGCGGTTTGCAAACTGCTCGGGCGTGCCGAAGGGCGTTGCGGCGCGGGAGGCGCCGTAGGAGGAGAGGAGCTTGGCGACCTCGAGGTGGCCGGTCTCGCATACCAAGGACAGCGGCGTAGTGCAGTTGTTGCGGGCTTGGTTGACCGCCGCGCCAGTCTCGAGCAGCAGTCGGACGCATTCGAGGTGGCCCTCCTGGCACGCCATGAGCAGCGGGGTGATGCAATCGTTGCGTGCTTGGCTGATCGCCGCGCCCGCCGCGAGAAGCAGCCTGGTTGACCGCCGCGCCCGACTCGAGAAGCAGCCGGGCGCACTCGACGTGGCCCTGCAGGCACGCCATGAACAGCGGCGTGGAGCCGTTGTTGCGGGCTTGGCTGACGGATGCGCCAGCCTCGAGAAGCAGCCGGATGATCTCGAGGTGGCCCTCCTGGCACGCGATGTACAGCGGCGTGGTGCCTTGCTCATCGGCCTGGTCGACTGAAGCGCTGGCCTCGATAAGCAGCTGGGCGCACTCGATCTGCCCTTCCTGTTCGCGGCTTGATTGACCGCCGCGCTGGCCTCGAGGAGCAGCCTGGTGCACTCCAAGTGGCCGTTCTGGCACGCGACGTACAGCGGCGTGGCGCCGTCGTCCTTGGCTTGGTTGACCGCCGCGCTGGACTCGAGAAGCAGCCGCACGCACTCGAGCTGGCCCTCCTGGCACGCGACGTACAGCGGCGTGGCGCCGTCCGCCTTGGCTTGGTTGACCGCCGCGCTGGCGCCGAGGAGCAGCCGCACCGCCTCGGCTTGCCCGTGGCGCGCCGCCCAAGTCAGCAGCGTGTCCTGCGTCGCGATCTCGAGCCGCGCGTCGAGCTGGGCCGTGAGCGATGTGCTGCGTGTCCGCCGCCTGGAGAGGAGGGCGCGCAGCGAGCCCAGGTCGCCCACACCGCGGCGCGCTGGGGGCTCAAAGTGCCGTCCGCGCCTCCTGCCACTCTCGAATCGTCCGGCGCAAATTGTGGTTCGGGATTAAGATGCTATGCTCGAGCTCGCCGCCGGTCAGCGGGCTCGTCGACTTGGTCGCGAGCCAGCGCTCGATCGCCGTCCGCTCGTACGACTGCCCGTCGGCCGCCACGACTGGCTCGACCATGATCTCGGTCGTGATCGGGCAGATGAAGTCGGCCGGCGGCTCCTCCTCCTTCGCAGCCGGCGCCTCTGCAGCCGACGGCGAGCCGCCCTCGGTCGCAGCGACAAGCGTCCGCTCCTCCACCACCGGCCTCGCTCCCTCCAGCCTCGCGCTCTGCTCGAGCGCCGCCGCCAGCTCCGCCTCCTCTACCGCCGCCGCCGCCTCGCCCTCTCCCGCATCTTCCGCCTCATCCTCGGGCTCCCGCGACGGCCCAGCGCCTACGCCGCCACCCCTCCCCTTCTTCTTCTTCTTCTTCCCCTTCTTGCTCTCCTTGGCGCGCCCCGCCTCCCTCTCCGCCTCCTCCTCCGCCAGCAGCGCCTCGGCATGCCGCGCCGCCTCCGCTTCTGCCGCCGCACTCTCCACCGCCCTCGCCGCTGCCTGCGCTGCCTCCTTCGCCGCTGCCTGCGCTGCCGTCGTGCGCTTCTCGAGGGCGCGCACGCACTCGCTGTGGCGCTTGCTTTGGGCCAACTGCAGCGCCGTCCAGCCGCCCGCATCGCACGCCGTCGTACCCGCGCCCGCCCGCAGCAGGAGGCGCACAATGGCGGGGTGGCCGTTGACGGCGGCGGCCATCAGCGCGGTGCCGCCGTAGCTGCTCTGCTTGTCGACCTCCGCGCCGCGCTGCAGCAGCAGCTCGACCACCCGCTCGCGGCCTTTGCTGGCGGCGAGGATCAGCGCGGTGCTGCCGTTGCTGTTCTGCTGGTTGACATCCGCGCCGCGCCGAAGCAGCAGCTCGACCACCCGCTCGTGGCCGCTGCCGGCGGCGAGCATCAGCGCGGTGATGCCGCTCCCGTTGCCCACCCGGCAAGTCGCATTGACCTGCCCGCCGCTGCCAAGCCACGCCAGCACCGCCGCCGCTTCGCCTTGGAAGGCCGCGTCCATCGCCTCTTTGGGTAGGCTGCCCAGTGAGTCGGAAGAGGTCGCGGCCCTCGCTCCCGCCGCCGCCTCGCCCAAGGAAGCGCCGCCCGCGCCGCCGCCCGCCGCCGCCTCGCGCCGGCTCGCAGTCACCTCCGCGATGTGCTGCCGGAAGGCCTCGACGCACTCGGCGTGGCCCTCCTCCTTGGCCAGCTGCAGCGCGGACTCGCCATTCTCAGAGCGCAGCTTTGTATCCGCGCCCGCCCGCAGCAGGAGGCGCACGGTGGCGGGGTGGTTGAAGAGGGCGGCGAGCACCAGCGCGGTGAAGCCGTCGCTGTCCTGCAGGTTGATCTCCGCGCCGTGCCGCAGCAACAGCTCGACCACCCGCTCGTGGCCCTTCTGGGCGGCGGCCATCAGCGCGGTGTTGCCATTGCTCTTCTGCAGGTTGGCATCCGCGCCGCGCTGAAGCAGCAGCTCGACCACTCGCTCGTGGGCGTGCTGGGCGGCGTACACCAGTGCGGTGACGCCGCACCTGTTCTGCTTGTTGATCTCCGCGCCGTACTGAAGTAGCATGTCGATCACCCGCTCGTGGCCTTGGCTGGCGGCGATCATCAGCGCGGTGCCGCCGTCGCTCTTCTGCAGGTTGGCAATCGCGCCGCACTCAAGCAGCAGCTCGACCACCCGCTCGTGCTGGGCAGCGAGCATCAGCGCGGTGACGCCGTCGCTCTTTTGCAGGTTGACCTCCGCGCCGCGCTGAAGCAGCATGTCGACCACCCGCGCATGGCCGTAGTAGGCGGCGCCCATCAGCGCGGTGCCGCCGATGCTGTCCTGCAGGTTGATCTCCGCGCTGCGCTCGAACAACACGTCGACCACTCGCTCGTGGCCTTTGCTGGCGGAGTGAATCAGCGCGGTCCAGCCATTGCGATCCTGCATGTCGACCTCAGCGCCACGCTGAAGCAGCAGCTCGACCACCCGCTCGTGGCCGTTGAGGGCGGCGTGATTCAGCGCGGTGCGGCCGGCGCTGTCCTGCAGGTTGGCATCCGCGCCGCGCTGAAGCAGCAGCTCGACCGCCCGCTCGTGGCCCTCCTGGGCGGCGAGCATCAGCGCGGTGACGCCGCTCACATCGCAGAGCATGCAAGTCGCATTGACCCGCCCGCCGCTTTCGAGCCACGACAGCAGCGCCGCCTCGTCGCCTTGCCCGGCCGCTGTCCACACCGCTTGGGGAAGGCTGCCGAGCATCATTTTGCCGCAAAGTTCTCTCTTCCGACGTCGTAAATCTTGGGGTTTGTTTCTCTTGGCACCTTGGAGTGCTGCGGGGGGGGGCGACAGGAAGAATGTGGCCCTGAGTTATGTGTACGCCAACTCCGGGTGTGACACCCGGGGCGTGGACGTGGCTCGGACGCGACCAGGACCCCGCGCCGCACTGGAGGCGCGGCCTCGTCGCCCTCGCCGCGCTGAGACCGACACAGGAAGGCGCACGATGCATACAGTGGTCGCCTGTCATGCGCCAGCACCGACGTCGGGCGGGAGAGGAGCTCCAGCCAACAGTAGTGGCGAGCCAGCCTGCGCTGCACGATGAAATAGTACTCGTGCTGACGCATCCTCACCCGAGTCATTTGCCTTTCCTGCGACAGCCGTGCGACGGGAAGACAAGGAGAGAAGAGGTGCGAGGCTGCGAAGAAAGAGCTTGATCGCGCCACCAACGTCAACGTCGGGTGCAGTGATGAGCTCGAGCAGCTCTCGTCGAGCAAGCTCCGCCTCCGAGCTCTCGCAGCAGCCATGCGCGCGCGTGCAGCCCAGAATCTCGCTCAGCGCCTCCGTCCTGGGGTTTGAAGGAGGTCCGCCGTAACGCTCCGCGCCTGGGCCGGCGGCGGGCGGTGTATAAGGCCCGCGATGGCACCGTCGTGTGCCTCTTCCGTGAGGGCCTGGAGGGTGCCACAGACGCGCAGGGGAGCGCGCGCCGCCGAAGTGGTTTGGCGCACCTCGATGCTGAGGGTGGCCGCCACACCTCACTTTCCGTGAAAAAGAAGCCTGAAATTTCGCGCAGCACTAACACAGGTACACCACGGGAGCCGCCTAAGCGACTCCTGCGAGGACGGCGAGGCACTTAATTCCATGAGTTCGGGAAGAATTCTTTTTCGCTAGGCTCGCCTCGGGCTCGCGCCGCCGCCGCTCGACAACGAGTCCCCCGTTTACGGCCCAACCATGGGTGCGCGGCACTCCAGCGCGATCCTCGCGGCCTTGGCCGCGCGCGCGTCCGCGCTGCCGATGCCGCCGCCGCCCGCGGCGCGGCTCCGACTGGCGAGGGCGCTGACCACCATGTCGGCCGCGGGCGGCGAGCGCAAGGCCAACCTGTACGGCCTGCGCGACGAGCAGCTCGAGGCCGTGCTCAAGGACTGGGGCCAGCCGAAGTTCCGCCTCAAGCAGATCCGCGACTGCCTCTACGGCGACGCTCCGGCGGGCGACATCGACGCGATGCACACGCTGCCAAAGGCGCTGCGCGCCAGATTGCGGGAGCACGCCACGCTGGGCGAACTGGGGGTCGAGTTCGAGCAGCAGTCCAAGGACGGGACGCAGAAGCGCCTCTGGCGCTGCCACGACGGGTCGCTCATCGAGTCGGTGCTGATGCCGTATGACGACCGGCGGAGCGCCGCCTGCATCTCGTCGCAATCTCGCAGCGTGGTTCCTCTCTTAGAGGCGGCGCGTTTTCTGCTTCAGGCGCACCGCGTGCATCTCGTCGCAGGTGGGCTGCGCGATGGGCTGCACCTTCTGCGCGACCGGGCAGATGGGCTTCCGGCGAGACCTCAGCGAGGCGGAGATCTTCGAGCAGGCCGCGCGCTTCTCCTCCGAGCTGCGCGCGCGGGGCGAGCGGCTGAGCAACGTCGTCTTCATGGGCATGGGCGAGCCGTTCCGCAACTACGACGCCGTCGTCGGCGCAGCGCGGCGCATCATGGGCGAGCTCGGGAGTCGGCGCGCTGATTCCCCCGAGATTCCCCGAGATTCCCCGAGAGTAGGCGCATCATGGACGAGCTCGGCATCGGCGCACGCCACGTCACAGTCTCGACGGTCGGCCTCGCGCCTCAGATCCGGCGCAGATCCCCCGAGATTCCCCGAGATTGCATCGGGAGTTGGATTGGCAGCCTCTGCTCCCCTCTGCAGTCGAATTCTCTAATCACTCTAGTTCTGAGCCTCGAGGCTTGGCGGGTCTAAGTGTGCCCTGGCACGCCGGGGTGCACACGCGGTCTAAGATCGGCGGGAGCCTCTTATGCGGGCTAAGTCTGCTGTGGCCAAGACGCTCCCACCGTGATCAACGATACGGCCCCTCTGCAGCCCCTCCTTCTTCTCCTCCTTCTTCTTCTCTTTCTCCATCTCTCTCTCCTTCTCCTCTTCCACTCTCTCTCCTTTCTTCTTCTTCTTCTTCTTCTTCTTCTTCTTCACGCGGGAGGCCTCGCCGTCTTCGGTCTCTAGGCGGTTTGCGGAGGAGGGGCTCGAGGTCGGGCTCGCAATCCTAGAAGCGGACATATCTCCCCATATCTCCCCATCTCTCCCCATCTCTCCCCATCTCTCCCCATCTCTCCCCATCTCTCCCCATCTCTCCCCATCTCTCCCCATCTCTCCCCATCTCTCCCCATCTCTCCCCATCTCTCCCCATCTCTCCCCATATCTCGGGCCCTAGAAGCGGAATACGTATTCTTGTGCCCCAACCAGCACTCCGCTGTTTTCTGCTGCATCCACTCTCTTCCTCTCCGTTGTATTCGCGCGGTGCTCTCAATACGCTGCACAAGACCGTACTACCGTCCTCCCGCCCTGATGTCGGCCTATTCAGCGCGCAGGCTCGCAATCTCGCTGCACGAGGCCCCATATCTCCCCACATCTCCCCACATCTCCCCGCAGGCTCGCAATCTCGCTGCACGAGGCCGACGACGTCGCGCGCTCCGCCATCATGCCCGTCAACCTAGAAGCGGAAGACGGACTCATGTCTCCCAACCAGCGCCCGAGAGGACGCGCACTCCGCTGTAGTCTTCTCCGTTGTATTCACGCGATGCTCTGAACACACTCTCTTCCCGCCCTGAGGTGGCGTACTCAGCACGTAGGCTGCCCATATCTCCCCATATCTCCCCATATCTCCCCATATCTCCCGCCCTGAGGGTGGCGTATCCAGCACGTAGGCTGCCCATATCTCCCCATATCTCCCCATATCTCCCCATATCTCCCCATATCTCCCCATATCTCCCGCCCTGAGGGTGGCGTCTTCAGCACGTAGGCCCGTCAACCGACGGCACGACCTCGACGAGCTGATTGGCGCGTAAAAGAAAGAAAGAAAGAAAGAAAACACGCAACCCAAGGGAGGGATGGGAGGATTGGCGCGTGCCACACTACTACGTGGGGCGCAGCGGTTTCTTTTTTCACGCCGGCGTGTTTTCTTTTTGTAGGCGCGTGCCACTACTACGTGGAGCGCAGCGGCCGGCGCCTCACGTTCGAATGGGCGCCGATCGCCGCGCGGAGCGACGCCGTCGCTTTCTTGCTCTGTTCTTGCTTGCGCACGCTGTGTTTTTTCTCTTTTTGTAGGCGCTGATCGCCGGGCGGAACGACGACGCCGCGACCGCGCGTCGGCGCGGCAAGCTGCTGCGGGGCACCCCGAGGTCTTCTTGTTTCAATGTTTTCTTTCAGTAGGCTCGGCAAGCTGCTGCGGGGCCTCAAATGCCACGTCAACCTCATCCCGCTCAACCCGACGCAGGTCTGCAATCTCGGGCAATCTCGGGCAATCTCGGGCGACCTCGGGCGACCTCGGGCGACCTCGGGTGGCCTCGGGTGGCCTCGGGCGACCTCGGGCGACCTCGGGCGACCTCGGGCGACTTCGGGCGACCTCGGGCGACTTCGGGCAATCTCGGGCAATCTCGGGCAATCTCGGGTGGCCTCGTCAACCTCAACGTCCACCCCGATTACCGTTGCCTCCTCGCAGGGCTTCGACGGGGCGCCCGCGAGCCTGCCCGACGCGAGGGAGTTTGTGGAGGTGCTGGGTCGGAGCGGCATCCCTGCGACCGTGCGCGTGCGCCGCGGCATCGACATCGATGCCGGGTGCGGCCAGCTGGCAGAGGCGTCGTCAAAGGAGAAGGCCAAGGAGAGGCTGAGGAGGAGGGGCGAGCGAGCGGGCGAGCGGCCGGAGAAGGCGGGGGCGGAGAGCAGAGGGGAGAGGACTGAGTAAGGGAGCTGTGGGCCTGCGGCGCACTTGAACTGACTAGTCACGGCTAGTCGTCGACGTGTGAGATCTGATTTCCATTGTGAGGGCAGGAGGGGAGTCGGGGGTGCTGGTATGCTGTGCTGTCCAGGCAACCCCGGGTCACGCAGCCACGGACAGTCGACGAGGATAGTCAGAAGAGAATTTTACAACAAACACGACTGGGAAGGCACTGGACCGTTACGCAGGAAATTGATCGTTTGTTATGACCCCCCCCCCCCCCAGCCCCCTTCTCCCTCAGGTATATAAAAGAAAGGAACTTCCGGCAGTTCTCCACACCGCAGTGGCGTGGCAGACGGTGAACGAGCTAGCGTGCGGGACGGCAGCGCGATCCTGTCGGCCGGCCGCGACGGCTCGATCCAGCTGTGGGAGATGCGCGCCAAGCCGTACCAGCCCGTGCAGCTGGCGATGCGCGCCACGCCGCGCTCCGAGTACATCGCAGACATCAGCAAGCCGACGTCGGCGGCGCGCGCGGCCCATGCGGCGGGAGAGGACATCTCGAGCCTCACCTGGCGGAGGGACGGCGTCACGTTCGCCTCCCGCTCGACGGATGGGTGCCTCAAGCTGTGGGACACGAGGCGGCTCGACGCGCCGCTCGCCGCGTGGGGCGACTTGCCTGCGCTGCTGCCGATGACGGGGTGCGACTTCTCGCCCGACGGCTCGGTGGAGGTAGTCACGGGCACGTCCGTCAAGCGCGGCTCGGGCGCCAAGCCGACGCTCGCCTTCTTCTCGACGCACGCTGAGCCGGATCGCGACGCTGGAGGTTGACGGCGCGAGCGTGGTGCCGCTGCTGTGGCACCCGCGGCTCAACCAGATCGTGATCGGAAACGCCGACGGCAAGGCGTACACGCTGTATGACCCGACCGTCTCCGAGAAGGGCGCCCTCTTCTGCTCCGTCAAGGCGGCGCCCAAGCGCGGGATGCTCTCCTACTCGGGCGAGGGGTTCTCAAAGGCGATGCAGATCATCACGCCGCACGCGCTGCCAATGTACCGCGAGGAGAACGACGACCACCGCAAGAAGCGCCAGAAGGACCGCGCGGACCCGCTCAAGTCGCGGAAGCCGGAGCAGGTGCTGACCGGTCCGGGCCACAACGGCAAGCTCAGCGTCGGCTACCAGCAGGCGCTGCTCGCGACCATGTCTGGAGGCACGTCCGGCCTCACCGGCACAAAGGACAAGATCGCCGCCTTCCAGAACGAGGACCCGCGCGAGGAGCTGCTCAAGTGCGCGCGCGAGAGGGGGGGGGGGGGGCTTGCTGCCCGGCCCCGGGGGGGGGGGGAAGGAAACTCCCCCCCGGGGGGGGGGGGGGGGGGAAATTTCTCCTCCTTTTACTGCCCGCCCGCTTTTTTTAAAAACCAACGGACGGGGGCCCACCGGGGGGGGGGACCCCCCCCCAAGTTCAAAAAAAGGGGGGGAAAAATGTTCCGCTTTTTTATCCCCCCCCCCTGTGGGGGGGCGGACCCCAAAAATCCCCAGAAGAAGACCCCTTTTTTATTAAACCCCCCTTTTTTTTTAAAAAAAGTAGAAGGGGGGAACCCAAAGGGGGGGGGGTCCCCCCCAA